AACTGAAGGAAGCTTTTTTCATTTATGAAGCCTTTTTGGGAAGAAAAAATTGCAATATTTACTCTTTCAAGGCATTCTGATCTTATTATGTTTAGCAGGAAATTCTTGCCACAGGACAAGGTTTCCCCCCCCTTCCCCCAACTTTTATTTCCTGGGCAAATTAATTTAACAAATAGTTGTTTCCTTAACTGAAATATTCTGATTTGAATTAAATGGAATTATTTTAAGGACTGGCTTGAGAAAGAAATCATTGTAAGCCTGGAACAGTGAATATTGCATTGAGAAGTACAGAGGCATTTAGCACAGCTGTGACCTTGCTGCACTTGCATAAGGACAAATATATGCAATTAATACAAAAAAACACAATTTGGGCTGAAAACTAGAAATTAATTCAACAAAACGCCCCCTGTACCATCAGGAGTTACAAAACCCGCAACACAAAATTACATTTCACTTTTCACTGCTGGTTGCTCTATGATCTACCTTGACCTAACATTGATTTAGTCACATATTGAGCTACCAAAAATCTGACTTTCCAAGGGAGTCACTGCTCTGATTCACCTTGCAGGCTGTCTTAAGTTGCAATGCAAGATGTAACCAAAAGTATATATTCTGTTACCAGGTGAGGGACTGTTCTTTATCTTTTCCACGATTCATCCCTCATAACTCCGGGGGGATATCTCTGTTCATGGGCCAGCTGTTAAAACCAGGTGGAGCAGTTTTCTTTATCTCTCCCACACCCAATCCTCCCTCCAGGAGATCTCTGCTGTTAATGGGCCATTAATTATTAATTATCTTCTGTCCATGGCCAGTGAGTGTCCCTGCAGGGCTGATCCAATCCCAGCATCCCATGGGGAGATGCTCCGCCCAGGGGAGGAGCCAAGCATTCCTACCTGGATCCAATCTGAGCTTTGGGAGCCCACAGCAGCCTCTGCCCCCTGCATTGCCAGAGGAGCAGCTTTGTGCTGCCCTGCATGGCCAGAGGGAGCCCAGGCCCATCTGCAGCAGCCCTGGAGCTGCAGAGGAAAACTCCCCCCTTGTGCAGGATCCCTCTGCAGCAGAGCCACAGCTGGCACTGCAGGAGGGCTGAGCCCCCATGGACGGGGCTGGGACACCCCCTGGCACACAGGGGGCAGGGCATGGTCTGGCTCTGTTTATCTTTTTGTACTATTGCATTTGCATTTTAATTTTCCTAGAAGAGAAAATTAATTTAATTTTCCTATTCCCATATCTTTGCCTGAGAGCCCCTTAATCTCAAAATTATAATAATTCAGAGAGAGGGAGTTTACATTTTCCATTTCAAGAGAGGCTCCTGCCTTCCTTAGCAGACACCTGTCTTTCAAACCAAGCCAGAGGTACCCACAGGGATAAAAAACCAGCTGGCTTTTCCAGCCCCTCCTTAGAGCAGGCACTGCCACGGAATTAGGGCAGCTTTTGATCCCATCAAGGATCATCGGATGATTTTGGGAAGGGAGTATTGGATTGGTTCCTCAGAAAAATTATATTCCTCAGAAAAAGGACATTCACTCGCTGCTTGCTCCAGAAGAGCTGCTTTATGTCAGTCAGGGGAGTTATCACAAATTTTCTTAGTGCACAACTCCCTGGAGCAAGGTGGGATTCAGCACTCCTGCCCAGGGCATGTTGGGAAGGCACTCCTGGATTTCTCAGCCAAAAAATTTATTTTCCTGGTTTTATGTTTTTCTCCTGGCTTTCAGAAGAATGGATTGACACCTAAGGGTGGCCCTAAGGAGCAGCAGCTGCCCTGTGCCAGTGGCGTGTTCCTGCTGGGGAAAACTCCAACAAATCCACGATGCCATTGGGGTGATATTCCCAGAGAGCCCTGGAAATCCAGCTGTACTTATTTTCAGCGGGATAAATAAGATTAAAACAAAATAACTAATGAACAGCCTCAGTTCACCCCCAGAAGTTTAATTTCTGCTGTGCTTTGCTCCCATGTGAAAATCTGTTGTTGGAGAGGTGATAATGCTGTTATTGTGATAATGGCACAATTAGAGAAGGACTTTTTAGATTAATATCAGCAGGAAAAAATCCTCTCTGACCCCACTTACTTTTCTGTGGGCAGGCACCATTCAAATCTTTGTTTTATTCAATTTAATTTTTAACAAGAATATTTGCATTCATGCACTAATACAAAAAAGGAAAAAAATTCACAAATCCCCCAAAAGCAAAGAATAAAGTCAACAATCAACAAGCTCCTTTTTTCAGGATTTATCCTGGTGTTCATTAGAAAAATTTTGAAGGAAAGCATCTTTAAAAATGAGCATTTAGTGTAGCAAATGAGATTTTAAAATGAACACTTAATGTAGCAAATAGGATCTAAAAATGAGTTTTTCATGTTCCATATGGGATTGAAACTGAGCTTGAGACAGCTAAAAATGCCCAGAGCACAAGTGGAAGACCCAATGGGAAGTAACATTTTTTAAGTATCTTCTTACAGCTGCCTCAAATGGAAGAAATACTCTTCCTAAATTGGAACTGTAAGATTTTATAAAATAAATATTTATTTCCTTGCCTTAGGCCTTTCTAATGAGCCACAGGTTGTGTTCAAGCAGCACAGCCACGGCGTGAGGAAACACTCCTTGATTTCCTCCTCACATCATTTGCTTTAAAATTAAAGCTGGGCAGGCTCTGCAGGACCTGAATCCAAATTAATCTTGACAACCTTCTGGAAAATCTCTATTAAAGCTCAGAGCTTCAAAGCTTAATGTGAGCATGGCGCCTGCTCCAGCAGCTCCCACCCCAGAGCTGATCCCACACCCATTCCCAGGTTTGTTGAAAAGCTTTTTAATGCTGGAATGGATGGGTTTTAAACCCCTAAAGCACAGCGGCAGGTTCTGTTTCCTCTCCTGAGCTGGGGGGTTAATAATCATCAACAGAAATGCCTGGAAAAAGCTCAGACATGCTTTTCCAGCTGTGGGACATCCCTGTGGAGCTCCTGGCCCTCTCCAGGGAATCCCTCACCTCACCAAGTACCCGAGTTTCATTCTTTTCCCAGGAGTATTTCCATCCCAGTGGAATTCCAGCCCACAAGGAGAGGATGGGATCAGCCAAGGAGTGGCTTGGGCAGGACTCTGCTCCCAGATCAAATCCCACTTGCATTAAATCCCTGTTCTACCGCCACCCCTCACCCCAGAGCATCAATCCCATGGGATCACCTTCCTGGTTCCTCTGGAGATCACTGTGTTCACCCCCTGCTCCCAGGGAATAAGGGCAAGAGGAACAGCCTCAGGGGGAGGTTTAGATGGGATTTTGGGGAAAATTCCTCCTGGAAAGGGTGGTCACAGCTGCCCAGTCCCAATCACTGCAGGGATTTAAAGCCATGTGGATGTGGCTCTTGGTGACATGGTCAGTGGTGGCCTTGGCAGTGCTGGGGAAATGGCTGGACTCAATGGTCTTAGAGGGTTTTTCCAACCTAAAAGATCCTATGAATCACGTAAATGTTATATTTTATATGGTAATATATATTATATTTTATATAATATATAAATATATTAATATATAATTACATATATTAGTATATATGTATTATATATATTAATATATATATTTTATATGGTTATATTTTATACATGGTATATAATACACATTTTAAATAATATCTACTTGTATGAATTAATAATTCTATTAATAACTTTACAATCTAATTATAAATTTATATAATTTAATAATTATAGAAGTATTAAATTTTAAATATATCAATTATATAACTATGGGATTATCACATTATAATTATATAAAATTATGACATTTAATAATTAAAAATTTATTTTAAATGGCATTGTTAATATTTATTATTAATAATGTTACTGCTGTTATTATCTCCCTGAGTCCCTTTCTTCCCCAATACTAACTGGGACAAGCCTGGTGTAGTAACAGCTTAGTAATGTCTGAGTAGCACTGGGATGGCTGAAACCCTCAGCAGCCTGGGCCTCCCCTTCCCTACAATTCCTGACATTTCCTTCCCTTTGGGATCATTATGGTGACATGAAACACTGTCTGTCTGTAAGGAACCATCTGTTCCTAACACTGTGGCACTGGATTTCATGAAATCATGGAATGGCTTGGGTGGGAAGTGGCCTCAAAGCCCATCCAGTGCCACCCCTGTAAAATGTATGTAAAAAATATATGTCAAAATATAGTAATTTTTCATAGAATCATAAGATGGTTTGGATTGGAAAGAACCTGAAATTGTTTTCCCTCACCATGCCAGGGACACCTTCCACTGTCCCAGGCTGCTCCAAGCCCTTCCCAATATCCCATCTAAATTTCCACTCTGTCATTCTGAAGCCATTCCCTGTGTCCTGTCCCTCCATCCCTTGTCCCCAGTCCCCAGCTCTCCTGGAAGGGCTCTGAGCTTTCCCTGGAGCCTTCTCCTCTCCAGGTGAACACCCCCAGCTCCTCAAATAACCAGGATTATTCATTATTGATCCTATCCAGCTTAAATCTCTGAAGGAACCTTTGGGAAAATTAAAATGGAATGAGTGAAAATTTTGTTTTGCTGTCTTTATGTTTATGTTACTCATCCAACATGCATTTTACAGCAACCTAAAGCTCTGCTTTCCTAAAATCTGCCATTTTACTTCCAGAAGCACAAGAACACACCCCCAGTGGATCTGAACCAGTTTAAACCCCAGATTTTTCCCTTGAAAGGGTGTTTTTTTTTGTAAAATTGTGTCTTTTCTGACACACTTTGAATGACTCATGTGAAAGCTTGTCTCTCACCCCTCAGCTCTGGGACTCTTTGCCAATGAATAACTCACAACAGGAATGAAACTCCCCCACAGCAAAGCTCCCCCTCCTCTCAGGAGGATGGGCAAACAGCAAATAAAAATCATCAGAATCATAATAATAATAATAATAATTAAAACTGAAAGAGATGAGAAGGAAACAAAGCAAATACTTCACTCACAAGAAAAAAAAAAAGGCAAGAGAGGACGGCAATTTCATGGGATTTTTGGATAAATAAACAAATGCCATACCTTTTCAAAAATTCCATATACTCAGTATGCTTGATGAGGCCAGTCCTCATCATTATTGTTTGAAAACATTGCCGATCAATAGCCCAAAGTTTCACATTTACGAGAGCTGGAAAAAAAAACAAGACAAGGGGAAAACGTGATTAGCAAAAAAATGTCCAAATTCCTGTGGTGAACTGCAGAGGAAAACGATGTCATTGGGAATGGGGAGCAATGCAAACCAGGAAATTCAGGTGCTGGACATGAAGCATGCACTGAGAGGATTGGGAAGGTTCTGATGTAGGAGGTGGATATGGGGTTTTGGAGAAGAAGGCCTGGAAGCAGCTGTGAGAGGAGCAGAAATCTAGGAAGGCCAAAGGTGAGCAAGGATTTGGGGTCAGTTCATCACACCCTGAGTGATTTTGGGACACTTTTAGTGCATTATCCAGAAAAATCCATTGAGGTTTCGTCCTGGTCCCAAGGAAACTTCCAGACCCAAGCCCTGATTATGAACCAGCCTGATAATGAAACACCTCCCAGCTGGGGAGGTTTTGAGCCATTCTTTTCCAACTTTACTTTTTGGGTCCCTGCCGATTTCTAAGATTTCTGAGTCACTCACCAAACACCACATCCTATTCTTCCAAAGGCAAAACTCCATGGTTAAAAAAAAAGGGAAAACCAGTGCACAGAGAGCAGAACCCCAAAAGGTCCAGTTTTCTTTTCAGCTGTGGCTTAGAATTTGCATTAGCCATAAATGCTTGAGTATATACAGTTTATAATAGGGCTTCTCCTTAGAGAAACAATTTGATTAAAACTATTCCCAAGATCTCTACACTTGTATTAATTTCTTTTTATTTTTTCAGACAGTGAATGCAATAAATTCCATCCTCGTGCCCCCATTTGACTGTAGGAAACAGCACGAAGCAGAGAGACTTTCAGCAAAATATTTACAAATACTCTCACTGATAAAATCCATGAAATGAATGGGCTTTGATTTGCTGCTCCTTCAGCTCCCAAACCTCCTCCTTAATGAGTTTTTATCCCTAACTGCATTTGCAAGATAGAAAAACCTTCAAAGTGCAAACGCAAAGATTTCTTCTTGACTTGCACGGCAGAACAGCCCTTAAAGCTTCTTCTGGTTTTCAACACAGAAACTTCATTTCGAGAAGAATTTTTAGTTTCCAAAGCAAAACCTGCAGGGCTGGGCACTGCAAAGCTCCCTGGGCAGCCCCTGCCAAGGCCTGAGCACCCTTTGCATGCAGGAATTGCTGCTGCTGTCCCAGCTGAGCCTCCCCTGGCCCAGCCTGAGGCCCTTTCCCCTTCTCCTGTCCCTGTTCCCTGGCAGCACAGCCCAATATTCCCTGTCAGGAATTGTGGAGAAGTGTTACTCTCTCATTTTACAGCCATAACACACTGTTCTATCCTATATATTTTAATAAAATCCTATATATTTGGGATATTCTACATATAGGATACATATGTTCTATATGTTTATTTACATATATTTACATATAATATATATAAATTATATCTATATTATATGTAATACATAAATTCAATATTTATATATAATATATAAAATTATATATTATATATTTATATATAAAATCTATAAATTATATTATATATTATATATTATAAATAAAAACCTATTATATATAATACATAAAAATATATACGATATAAAATTAATATAATATAATATAATATAATTAATATAATAATATAAAATATTAATATATAATATATAAATATAATGTAATTATATTATTGAACTATAAATATATTAATTATATACAGATTATATATATATTATATTTTTATCTATAATATGTATATATATATGTGTGTATATATATGAATATATATGTATATGCATATATATAAATATATATATGTACATACACAACCTCTGTGTGATATCCTCCATATTCTAATAAATTCACATACCAGCCCCACACAAGGTCCAAGCAGCCCAGGAAGTTGCTGAAGTGCAGACAATGCACTTGTGTATTAATTAAAGCACTAATCACACCTTATATTCTCATTTCTCCTGCCTTAATGACAAACAGCTGCTTTACTAAAGGCTAATCAGGGTAGAGATTTAAATGTCAGCAGGACCCTTATAATCAGCATGAGCAGCATCTCCTGTTGTGCTGGAACCCCCTGTCAGGGCTGAAGAAACAGGAGGAATTATGTGGGATTTGATGGCTTTAAAGATTTCAAAGTTATCTATTTATGAGTGCCCTGTGATGAAAAATATATTTTTGGGATGTGTCCCACAAATTCAACATCTACTGGGAATTAGAACAGACACAGAGATTTCCTTGCCCATCTCTCTCCACAGAGCCTATGCTGGAAGTAAAATATAAAATATCCCATTCCCTGACTGCAGGAGGCACAGCCAGAAAGGAAAATGAGAAAGAAAATTATGGAAGAAGATGCATCTGCAACAGGAGTTTCCCTTCTCAATAATCTGAAACATCATCCTGCAATCTGAGCTGTGATGCTACAATTTAAGTTTATTGCCTCTTTTTACACTTTTTTTCTCAGCAAAATGCCATAGCTGGGGCTCTGATCTTTGGACACACAACAAAATCACTGCTCATCCTAAAAACCCCCAGAAGTTTTGGGCAGGGACACCCAAACCTGTGATTTCTATAGGGCTGCAGCTGTAGGAGCTCTCCAGGTGAAGGGATTGGGCACTGCAGAATATTTGAATTGCACATTGAAGCAAAAAATTGATGGGAATTTCTTCATTTGGCTTCATTTCTTCTCATGGACACAGTGGCTGAAAATCATCAGCTCCTTTTTCCCTTTCTCACATGCAAAGGCAGTGAAATGAGGGAGAGAATGCAAAGTTTTAAGTTAAATATTTACAGAAGAGCAAGAGATTGATGGGAATTTCTCATTTCTGACAGATTTCTGCTGTGGTTCTAGGGCTGAAGTAAAAGGAAATGCTGCTGGAGAAACAGAGAAGAGCTGAGGCAAAAGTGTCAGGATTTACTGGGTCAGAACTGGATGGGGGTGGAGATGTTTTCATTTAAGTTTAAATTGAAATGCTTGCCATGGTTAAGCCCTAATTTGTGATTGAAGCTGACTGAAATTATCTAAATCAATGATTTCAGTAAATGAATCAAACCCTTCTCTCCATCAACACGCCTGATTAAGGCAAATTTAAAAACTCAATAACCAATTTCAAACTTCTTTTCCAAAAAGAGCTATTTCCACACTTTTTTTCCTATTTATTTACGTGGGAACCCATGAAATTATATCCTAATTGAAAGGGGTGAACATATCCCAAAATCTGGGATATGTCCCAGCCTGTTCATCCATGTCCAAAGCCTCGTTTCTCCAGGCTGAACAGCCCTGAATCTCTAAATAACAGGGATTATTCATTATTGAACCTCTCCAGGCCTTAATTCTCTTTATTTTCAACACTTCCATCACACTCCCAGCCTGCCAAAGGACAAAATTTGGGCTGGTTTGCTTCATTTCTTCTCATGGACCCAGTGGCTGAAGATCATCAACTCCTTCGCATGCAAAGGCAGTGAAATAAGGGGGGAAATGCAAAGTTTTAAATTAAATATTTACAGAAGAACAACCTAAACACTGCTGATGTTTTTTAATCTGATATATTTTCTGTTAGATAGGTGGGGAAATCCTGAATATTAAAAAATCCTTGAAATCAGGGCAGCCGGCAGGGGCATTATTTCCCAAAGGAAATGCAATATTCACAAGGCCCTGCATTCTTTGAGCATCTTCCCAAGTTTTTTATGTGCTCATTGAAGCCTTCCCAAGTTTTTTCAAGGATCATCAGGTCAATCATCCCCAGCCCAAGTGCTGCTGGCAGCGTTACCAGACCTGAAAATTATTATTCCTTTGCAACCCAAGCTGGAATTCATCAGCTTACTTTGCCTTTTGGGCTATTTTATCCCAAAAACTGTTTGTTTATCTGCCCTCAGGCAAAGGAACTGCCACAACTTTGTATCCTCAGGGCTTTTTTTGGCAGACAGAACATCAAATTTCCACTCCTATTTAACCCTCCTCTCACCTGGGCTGGGTTTTGCAGGAAATATTGTGGAAATTAGGGAAACACAGCCATTTCCAGGTGTTTCTGGTGCCTTCTGTTTCAGGTATGAAATGATGATAAAAGCACATTTAACTGAACAGGAGGAATGGAATTGATTTATCCTACCAAACACTCTGGGAATGATGAGGGAGGCTCCAGAATACAGCATGGAGTGATGCAGAGGATGCATCCGAGGGCTGGAGCAGGAATAAATTCCTTTATTCCCACATGTTTCTGTCCCAAATTTCTAACAGCACTGGCACAAGAATGGCTCCATCCTGACATCCCATTTTCCAGGAGTTCCTTTCCCATTATTCCCCAGGGAGGTTCTGGCAGTAGGGAAGGAGTCAATTAAATTAGGCTGAGGATAAATGTAAAATATAAAACAAAACCTTCCACTGCCAGGGGGTGGGGTTAGATGGGATTTTGGGAAGGAACTGCTCCCTGGAATGGATTTCCCAGAGAAGCTGTGGCTGCCCCTGGATCCCTGGAAGTGTCCA